CGCTTTGAAAGCTGACGGGAGCGAAATCGCTCGCCGCTCCCGTGTATTTTTTTCGGTAGCCTGACCACAGCCACAGGTTGCCAAACTAAAATCAAAATGCTACATATCGATCTTTCAAGTTTCGCATTTGGTATTTTCATATGTGACCGTTTCTTTGAGCTACTGCAAAACTGCGACCGTCACTGTGAGTGTGACTGTGAGTGTGTGAAATTGAATGAGGCCTGGCAGTGCCAGTGCCAGTGCAGTGGCAGTGCCAGTGGCAGCTGATACAAGATAAAACAGCATCTTGTATCTTGTATCTGGTTCCCTCTCTTGTATTTCACAAGGCACCCGAATCAACGAGTGCGGGGTTCATCTAGAAAACAAAGGGGTAAACGTCGCCTCTAATTTTCTACATGTTAGTGTCACGGATCGACAGAATTTTCCGTACATAATCTAATTCAGGTTTTAATACTATAATAGTCCATGGTTGTCCCTTTTCCAGTTATCTATTTCTTGTCCCCCCTTATATTTTTCATAACTATCACAATTATATACATGTTCCATATTTTCTTTCATATCGTTATTACATCTATTACACTTATCCTCGCTAAAATTATTTTTAAAGTATCCTTTTAGGTCAATCATGCAAGTTTTGCATTTAAATGCAAAACACGAATCGTTAAATGATAATACTTTGTTATTAGCAAAGCATGTCTGAAGATGCTTTCAACCCAGTACCTTGGTGCAACTGTATTTGCTGCATTTTTCTTTTTTCTCTTTTTCTTAAGCTGCTTATTATCTGCAGTACTACTACTACTAGATAAATATCTCTGTAAATATTCTTGCTTGCTGACTGACGCCATGTTTGTTTATAAGGAATGATGAGAAAAGGCGCTGTGATAATAATGTAATTTACAAAATAATATATTTATTAAATTGAATTACACTTAACATTAACTATTAAACAAAATATAGAATATATGTATCATATGTTTGGTCTGCGATTAGTAAAACTAAGAAAAATCATATGGGCAACGTGGTGGTCGAGGTAAAAAGTAAAGATGGCTGCGCCCACTGCAAGCGAGATTGTTTCGTAATAAATATACAGAATAATATTCTTCATAAGACACAGTAACGAATAAGGAGAGTGGGAGCCTTATCTTGTTGTAATTGACAGATCAACACGAGGAGTTTCAGTGAGTATAGGAAGTCTCGTGTTACTTTTTACATTCTGATTGAAAATGTAAAGTTTAGCGGTGATTGAGACTGAAGTTCTAGTTGTGTTGTGAGTTATTTAGCCTACAGAGTACAGGGGCTCAGGGATAGAGAAGATGTCCAGTCCTATCTTATCAACTAACATCATCCTATCCAATCACCGTACTGGACATCATCTCTAGACTCTATCATTGAACCGAGTACAGGCAAGAGAGGTTATACTTACCGAGAGCGGTTAAGCCGCGCACTTCCGCGGGACTGGGCACACGCGACCGCGGGGTGTTGTATGTAGCATCTCGCGCTGCCCACTATACGAATTCGCACGCCGAAGGAGGGCGGGCGCGCGAATCCGTATAGCGGGAAGCGTAACATCGCGCAGTTTCGTCAGACGTACACCGGCTTGACTACGGCGGTCTTGGAGGGAGGGGCAGCAGGGGCCAGTATACGTAAGATTAGCTACATGTAAATACTGGCACGGCCACGCCAGCACGTGCTCGCGTGATGTGCCATCGCCACGGGCAGCGCGGGGTCACGAGGTTGGTAAAAACATGCCACGTACGCAGCCAGGGGCGCCGCGGCGGCGGCGGTTTTGGAGATAGCATCTAGACCGCGCCAGCCAACGTGGAGCGCCGTACGCGTCTTCATTAAAACCTCTGTGATAGACGTGACGCTATATTTGGCAGTAGCCCACGTCATCGCGTAGCGGCGAATGAGCGAGCGCGTGGTCGCTGAGTGACAGCATTTCTTAGGGTTTCTTGTAGGAGCTACTACGTGTTACCCGTGAGGAGCGCCACCCCAAAAAATTTCTAGGGGGCGTTTGGAGATGGCCTCTAGCCGTCGATCGCGAAATTTCGGTTGGATTCCGCCCCGTTTTCGCGGAGTTCGTTTTCAGACCCCTGTCTAACATATCTGTCTAAGTGGACAAAAAGGGGGCGGCGTATTCGCTGTGGGGGCGCGTCTTCGCCGCACGCTGTGCGCTGCGCGCAATAACCGGGGCCGCAAGTCCGTCAAGCGTCCTAAATACAATCTTGGCAACGAAGTGCCACAAAGCCAATGTTCAGGTTGTGGGTTGGCATTTATTTTATTATTATTTTATTTATTTATTAATTTAAAGACAGTACATTTGTAACAGAACATGAGCTTGCAAGCTCCTCACCGTCAGTAAAGCACCGGCATGGTTAACTTATCTCTCTTGGATGGATCCGATATTACATGTCAATTAATGACGCCTGTCACTTCAGTTGATTTCACACAGTTGACCAGGATGAAAGCTGATATTGAAGTAGCAGTTGAAGATTCAGAACAAAATGCTTCACTTTCAAAAAACCAAAGAAAGAAACTTGAAAAGAGAATGCGTCTACAGGCTTCTCGCACAGAGAAAAGGTAAGAACCAAGACCTTCGCGCGTGCGCGTGCGTGTGTGCATGTGCGCGTATGTGTGTGTTTGTTATGGAGCAAGGTGAGTTAGTACTTCATAATCAGATAGTGAGATAGCAAGACAAACCCTGCATGAAAAATCGTTACTTTGTTATTATCTAGGCTTGGGTCTAAATTCTAGTGATAAATTCCATATGCTGATTTTATTCAGCTATTGCCATTATGTTAGTGGTTGTTAGAGACCAACTTGTACTGGCACAATGGAATTTACTTGTAACTAAACTATCTGAATCTGAATGCTTACGGTGCAGGACCATTGAGGTATAGTGCACCGTTACTATCTTAGTTTAAACTAACGATACCATAGAGTTACTATGGTATAATTATAGTTTAAAGTACCTGATTAATGGCGATAGTTCGACAAGTATCTAAAGCTCACCTTTTTATGAAGTTTTTGTATGTTTTTGGCAGGAAGGAAGAAAAACAAAGAAAGAAAAACAGGCGTGCCGAGCAGTTAGCAGCTGGTATTGAAATTCCACCGCCAAAACGCTGGAAGAAAATGGAAGCATCCAATTGTGCAATCCAAGTTCGTATTTCAAAGATACTTATAGTTTCAAACCCATAATACCATAGTTAAGCTAATAACTTATAGTCATGACCTTGGTAATTATGTAAGTATAAGGGTTTTTGCCTATGAGTAAGGGGTTTAAATCTAGTGTCAAATATCTGTTTTTAGGCTGTTTCTGTGTTTGCATCAAGTCTGAAGCATGTCGCAAATGGGAAAATTTTGTTTACAGAACTTGATGTTTGCAAAAAATATATAAGTTGGTGAATCTCAAAAAAAATGTCAAAATTTCGAATCAGGAAAACCTGAGTATATGCTATTGTAAACATGCTTGGCTATGACAATAGCAGATATCTGTGCTTTTGCGAATTCTCTCAGAGCAAAGATTGAGATAAATTATTGCTGGTTGATTTACATTTCATCAGCAATAGTTAGTAGTGCAATAAAAAACGTTTTCATCACAATTTAAATGCCATGAATTATTCTGTGGAAATGTAGTTTGTATTAAAACATTTATGGGAAGATCATCGCAGCAGACGAGGTAGGCTTGGGAACCTAGGTAGGGCAGCCACGGCACGGTAACTTATTAATGCCGATATCGGCCAATTTCCAGAGGCACTACAGCAAGTAAGGAAGGCAACTTGATATTATTGTCGTGTTGAAATCCAGACCCGGCAACTGTTGTTCTTATATTGTGTGTATGCCCTTTGCAGGTTGCTGTAGACATGTCTTTTGATCACCTGATGTCAGACAAGGATCTTGCCAAAGCGCTCCATCAACTGCAGTTCTGTTATTCTGTCAACCGTCGCGCAGAAAATCCACTCCAGGTAAGCAGGTTGTCTGGATTATTGCACCAGGGAGAAATACTCATTTTACATACCAGGGTATTTGGTTATGTTGGTTCGAATCCCATCTGTTTATTTTTAATTTTTTTAATTTTTTAATTTTTCTGTTTAGGGTTAGTGTTAGATTAGGGTTAGGGTTAGGGTTAGGGTACACAATGCGTGTGTACACATGTGTATTATGAACCCGAGCGATCCCGAAGTTGCGCCCTACTATCGTTCGGCTATTTCCGGAAAAATGAGTATTTCTCCCCGGTACACGATTCGGTTGTCTGCCACAACTTCCACCAGCATGTGGCTCCATCTATCGGGGAATTTACTCACTTAAAGGTTGTGGAGCAGGGGCCCATTGTCAGAAACAAAATTAGTCTTAACATAGT